GTATTTCTAATAAGCTCCCTACTGGTGCCTGTAGTGCTGGCATGTGGACCACATGTTATAAAGCAAGGAACTAGATAACATTCAGGTAATTTTTTCAACACTAAGCATTTATAATCCTCATAGAAAAGTATACCTCAGGAGAAAAGAAAGTAGTTATATATGAGACATTCCTTGGGAAACTGACAGTGTTTGAGAGTGCAAACCAAATCTGTGCAAACCAAAAGCACAAGCATTTCCTGGGAAAACAAGCAGGAATATTCTGATTCCCTTGGTAAATGCATATTTTTAAAGAATCTCCTCTAAATAAGGAAAATTTGTTACTAAATACTTGTATACAATTATGTTTAATTATCCATTTTCATTAAAATATTTTTTTCAGTACTAGGAATTGAACCAAGGGATGCTTTAGCAGGGACCTACATCCCCAGCCCTTTTAATTTTTAATTTTGAGACAGGGTCCCTACTAAGTTGCTGAGGCTAGCCTCAAATTTGCAATCCTCCTGCCTTAGCCTCCTGGGTAGCTGGGATTACAGGGATGAGTTACCACACTTGACTAATAACCATTTTCAACAATTGGAATTAATAGCATCCATTGCTTCAAGTTTAATAATTCTAAATTAAATTCAATATTTTAAGTGTTCATCTATTTTATTCAGCAAAATCTTCATTCACTTCAGAAACTTTTGAAGTACAGGCTTCATTTTGTTATTCTCTTACCTCTCTTTCTATGATCAGTGCTTCCTAACAGTTAATTATGTCTCTCAAGATATTTGGTCTTCTTATTCCTAGTGAAACCCYGGCTAGCAGCTTGATGCTGAGCTCCTAGAACTCAGTTAAGCAGACTAGCTATGACATTGATATCTACTTCAGCAACCTGATACAAGTAAGTCCCTTTTCATGACATGAAAAGGGTCTATGAATCTGCTGGAGGAATTTATATTTTAAGTGTGTGTAATTAGTATAACATGCCCAGCAAAATTTGGTCATGGGAGAAGAAATAATGAAGAAGCAAGTCAGGTATTCCTGTCAAGTGTGTCTTTTACATGTGTCCCTAATATTAGTCTTCCCATATACTAAATACTTTTATCCTAAAGCTGGTCCTTGGTAACTTCTCTTAAATTCATGTGTATTTTCCAATTTGGAATTTCAATTTTATTTTGTGATACTTGACATATAAAATTTGAATAGATTCTATATCTATATGCATCACCAGGTGAAATTATAATGGTGATTTTGACAAGGAAATTAAAGGAAGCACTATTATATTATTTAAAATCAAATAATCAAAATTGCAAGTTGTTGAATGGTCATAGAGTGTTTTAATAACATTTTTATTATGCAAAGAAGTTTCAGTGACAGTGCTATCAAAAATTTGAAAAGATAACTGAATGTGGTGGTACATGCCTATAATCCCAGCTAGTTGGGAGGCCAAGACAGAAGGATTGAAAATTCAAGTCSAGCCAGAGCAACTTGGCACAAAATAAAATAAAATAAAAATTTTWAAAGGGGCTAGAGGTAGTTAAGTGGTAGAATACCCTTGGGTTCAATCCCCAGTACTTAAAACATTTTTTAAAAAAGAACATTCATCTTTAAAATGCTTTGATTAGAAATGACATTAAATACTTTTCAGGCATTAAACCTGATATACAAAGTTATATTGATGGAAGTATATTCATATTTCTCAAAGTCATCTATATTCAATTTTAATATATTGCCCAAAATGGTGTATTTTACTTTCTTGTAATTATGTAATATAAAAAAGTCTTCATCAAGTCCCCAAATTTCCTCCAATTTATTTAAGTATGTCATACAAATATCATTATATTCTGTGTTGGGAAACACCATTATAAGTAATTTTTCCTCTATAAATATACTCTGTTACAAAATAGCTTCTAGTTTAATTTTAGACTAATTGATTACACATTCRACTTCATGTACAATTGCTATTACCCTCAGCAAACAATTGTCTACATGACAATTAGAAATGTTAAATTAAAGTTACTTCTTCACCCTTTCTTTTTTCCTTATTTGAAACAGGGTCTCACTATGCTACCCAGGCTGGCCTCTAACTCTGAGCTCAAGTGATCCTCCTGATTCAGACTCCCAAGTAGCTGAAACTATAGGAGCACATTGACACCTGACTTCTTGCCCCTTCTCCAGTGTCTCTTGAAAGTCTTAAAATATTATTATTCAAGGCTCAAAATGTTATTTTCCTTGACCTGGATGTTTATATATATATATATATATATATATACTCTGCAACAAACCATTAAGTACATTGTTTAGTGTACATGAAAGGGTATATTTTATTCCACATCAACAAAGGTTTAAACCATTTGTTTTCTAAGACTAACAAAATCTGGCAATCTATAGGAATGTGTTCTTACCTCCTGCTTATACTAGCCTTGTTCTTGTTACTCCCAAGAAAACCTAATAAATTATTAACTGTCATTGGGCAGTTGGGAGAAGTCATGAAAAGCATGACATTTAATAATTCATAATAGAAACATAGGCCTTTTTAGTTTCTGATACCCTGGTTCGTATATAAATTAATCAGATCAAAGGAATGCTATTAATCTCAACTTAAGAGTTATCAGTGGCTTTTCCAATCCATGTAAAACATGATATATGTGGGCCTGAATCCAAAAACCAGGATAAAACTAGCCATTGATATGGAAACTTTAATGTGGATTCTAAATATATTTATACCCATACCTTGGCAGAAATTCATTTCTTTTGCATCCCAGAAGTTGTCTGAAATAAGATCCTTTGGATAAAATTCAGGCAATTTCAGTATAAATATGGATATGTATTTGTGGAAAGTGAGAATTTCATTTACCTTATTAAATAYGTCAATTACATGTTTATTCCAAGCCTGTATGGTATTCCACTTAAGATAAATGAGACACTGACCTAATTGCTAACACTGTCCCAAGCTGATTTACTTGAATAATAATAAGAAAGAGACAAGCATGTTCCTGCTCTGACCATATCTACMATTACCAAACATGTACCACAGGTTTCCCTTGCCTTTGCTAGCATCTATCTGTAGRTAGAATGAAACACTCTAGAGAGCTAGTGAAAGATTTGCTCTATTTGTGTACAGTGATTCGAAGAGCATTCCACTGTCATGTATAACTGATTAGAATAAATTAAAWAAAWTTTWAARRAWWAAAAAAAAAGGAAGACAGCTCACCCAGCCATCAACATGCACATGTGAATTTACAGAGCAGACAACAGAGCTATTAATCGTGGCCCTCACATCTCACATGAGAGTTACATTGTAAATCATTTAGCTTCATCACATGTCTTATTAGCTTAGGCCTTTGTTTTGATAAAGGATGTTTTATGTTTAATGAAATTATCAGTCTAGTCTACATTTCTGCAAGCCCAGAGGAAATCAAGAGTTAGCACTTCTGAGCCTTATCCTCCACCAAGTCTTGTCTCTTTTGCTTCTTGTAAAAAGCATCTTTTGCTTTCTTTCTCCCTATATCTTTGTTTTCTTTCCAATCTGCTTCCTTTTCTTTCCACAGGCTAGATTGCGCCCCCCAGCGGTTGGGAGTATTTTTAAATGATTTTTCTTTTTAATCTCGGTCTCGGTACACTTGTTCACTTGTGTCTCACTGCAATTTTACTTTGGGGGGCTGAGTCCAACCCGTTTCACAAACTAGGATGCAAAAGTCTTGATCACGAGCAAAACCACACTCCCTCCTGTGGCCAATTCCCTATTTGCTATTCTAACGAAGGGAAAGGCACCAGTCAAAAGGAAACAACTTGGAACTGGGTAGCTGCAGAAGAGATTTCTTTGGTGCTCAGAAGCCAAAGCAGCTCCGGCAACTGTGCAGCTTGTGTCGCTGTCCAGAACTCGGTGCTGAATATTAGACACTGGTTTCTCTCTCTCCAGGGTCAGTCCCTCTGGATCCAAATAGGTTCCGCCAGGGTAGACTGAATTTATTTTTCTCGGGTCAGGGGTGGGGAGTTCCTTTAAATGTTCGCTTGTTTTATTTTTACGGAGAAGCATTCTCCCACAAAGATACATTGTGCATTTTATGGGAAAGTAATCGCACAGCTTTAATTCAGTACCAAAGTGAAGAGCTCAAGTGAGAGAAAAATGGGAAAAAAACAGGGTTAATGAAACCTGATCTTTCCTTTCTTGAGTCAATACAACATAATTTGGAACCCTAGACCCCTAACCCCTTATTGATAAATGAAAACATGTTTTTTTTTTCAAAAATCATGTGACTAACCCCCCCCTCCACCCCACCCCCCCATTAAACACTGTAATGGTGCTGGTGGTGCTGGGCTATGCATAAAATTCTATCTGGGATACAATTTTAGATGTTTTTTTCCCATTCCCAGTGTGAAACAGGAGAAAAGGAAGTAAATTTGTGAACTAAGGTGGTTTGAGTGATTAACACTTATTTTTTAAAATATTGTTTTAACATTGTCTTGGAGACACGGTCATTTTGTTAGGTAAGCTGAATCTGGGCAGTAGCAACTTACTCTCCTCCCCCCCCCCCCCCCCCCCCCGCTCCACCCCAAGACTCTGTCCAGTTTGAAAGATCTAAGAGCCTTTTTTTCAAAGGACCAAAAGGACCATTATAAGAATCCCATGCCGCCCCACTTCTCCAGGATACAAGACACTAAAGTAAATATAAAGAAAATGGATACAGGGAAGGAAAAGAGTGCTTAGCTTCCAGCCTTTGGCTCTTAGTAGTTACATTCAAATAGGGGCACTTCTGTTTGAGAAGTGAAAATATTCCTCACAGCTCCAGAATATACGGGGAGGCAGGGAGCAGAATTAACTGATCCCGGCAAAAGGTTCCTTCCTTTCTTAATCCCTTGCTGCTTATTTTAGTCGCTTCTCCACCCCGCCGGGAATACCATCCAGATCTTAGTCCAGGTAGATCTGACGTCAAGAGATGGCTTTCGTCGATTTGACGTGTAAACACTCATTTCCATTCTGTCTGGGAAGGGCTGGGGCTCCACTCAGCCAGAAGACCAAAGCGCTTCAGTGAGCGCTTGCCGCCGCCCAGCCTCTCCTCGCGCGCCTCCTAGCTCTTCGCAGAGCTACTAGGAGCTAGGAGTGGTTCAGAAACTGAGGGTAGGAAGATCGAGTCTGTCTGGCTTTTCCCTGTCTTGCATCTTTTCCCTCTCTYCTTCCCACTCTGTGCGAGAAGTGTGTGAGCTATGGAGCGAAGAGCCTGGACTCTGCAGTGCGCTGTTTTCGCCCTCTTGTGCKCTTGGTGTGCTTTAAATAGTGCAAAAGCGAAAAGGCAATTTGTCAATGAATGGGCGGCGGAGATCCCCGGGGGCCCAGAGGCAGCCTCGGCCATCGCAGAGGAGCTGGGCTATGACCTTTTGGGTCAGGTAAGAGTTTGCACTTTCAAGAAACTTTCTGGTGTCCGAGGGGACTGGTGAGACTAGAGCGCGGTTTCCCAAGTGGGAGCCCCTGGTCGCACTCTCCCGCGCCCGGTGTGGTTAAGAGCAAGGAGCTTCTCTTGCTCTCTCCCTCCGCACGCTAGTGGAGGGAAAAGGCTTGCATTATTTACTGTTTGCGCAGCCAGGCAGAGGAAGCAGCAGCAGCTGGGTTGAGATTATTCTTACTGAGATTATTCCTCTCTAGAATTGAAATATTTTCCCGCGCGGTTTGGAAGAAAAACCCGTCCACGCGTCTTCAGGGAACTTGAGATGCACACTGGCTCTCACCAACCGAGCGCCTCTGGGAGATGCGCTTGGTCGCCAGGGACTTGGGCCATTTGCGTCAGGAGCCGGCCGTTTCCTTCTTTTCAATATGGCAGCATCAGATACAACTCCTAATGCAAGGGACCTAGCAAGCTTGGGGATGTCCGTCGGCAAGGTTTGGGGGCACGCCCAGAGCCCTAGGAGAGCACCAGCTTCCGGAACTAGCTATTCCGAGGTTGGGGGGCTGCGGAATGGACAGGGAAACTGGCAGGAGATCAGGTGGGTGCAAATCTCTTAGCATTTTCAGGGAGCCCTGGCTTTTCACCTGGGAACTTGGGAAGTCCCAGCTTCCTAACTTTGCTCTGCCGGTGGCCCTGCAGGATCGACCTACAGAATTGGCTGTGGGCAAARGATCTATCTCCTTCTTATTCTTGAGCCAAATGCGTAATCGTTTCCAGTTTACGAGGGGAAATGATTCGCTATCCAAGAGGCGACTGGTTAATAGATTGCTTGGGGAGAGGGGTGGAAAAACGYGAAGGCATTAAGAAGGAGCCTGGTAAGCCCCACGATTCCAAGTGTCCCCCAGGGATGTGACTTCTAATCTAGAGCTTTCCTTTTTCTTGACTCAAAATCAATCCCTTGTCCCTTGTCTTGGAATTGGTTCGGATCAAAGCGGGGGAGGAAGGAGTTGTAAAACATTTTGGCGCGTCCTCCCCTCCTTCCCGAGGTGGTAATTGAGACTCAGCTGAAGTCATGGATGAGTAATCAGCGTGGGCGTTGGCGATTCCATAGATCGACTCAGCTGGGGAATATGCCTTCCCTAGCTAGAGGCTCCATTCTCCAACTTTGTGAGCCCAACTGTCTTTGAAATGCCCGGTAGCGCGTTGCAGTGGATAACCAAATTGACTTCTCAGTGTCCCAGTAGCAGACTGAGYCTTTTGCTTTTCCCAGTCTTGCTCTTTGCCATGATCTGTGTTGAAGTTATTAGAAAGGAGGAAAAGAATCCAAGGAATACAGAATCTAGAAGAGATTGGTTCAGAAGCAAATGATTGCAAACTAATGCAGTTTGTGTGGCAATGGAAGTTGTGCTTGGAGTCTCAATACAGTATTTGTTAACTGAAGCAAAGAAGGTGGGAGGGAATATGGGAGATGTGAAAGAAGACTACCCAAAGGAGGAAACATTTGCACAGGTTTAGGAAGAAGAGTAAGAAGATGCTAGGAGAAGATAATGAGATGGAGAAGGCAGTCAGAAAACTTCTTGTGGGAAACAGGGAGACACAAGGCAGCCTAAAAGTAGTCTGTTAACTACCTGCAATTTTGYGAAATTCCATGAACAAACAGAAAATGACAGATGGAACTACACTGGTGAGCACCATGGGCACCATGGAAATCTTGTATGTCCTGTGGAAAAAATAAAAACTGAAAATTTAATTCTGTATTCCTTGGGCAGCTACTGGCAGGCTCAATAGCCCTGACTATTGTGTAGGAGATTGAAAGAGAAAGTAAAAAATAAATCTCTTCTTTTCTCACCTGTTAGTACCAGACACACATCCAAACCTGGGAATATGGGAATTACTTTTCAAAATAAATAAGCATAAATCCAAAAGGTAAAATGCAATAAACTAGTGTTCTTGGTAGGATCTTTGTGATAGGGATGGTATAGTCACAAAAATAATTTTAAAACAGTGAGTAGGAGGGGCATCTATATTAACATATGATTTGCAACACTATCTTTCATCTAGCCATTTCTAGTTAAAATGGCATTACTAAAACAAGAGTTTTTAAATTATAATTCTTTGTAAAAAGAAACTGATAGTGCTTTTCTGGTTCTGTTTATTTTGTTTATCATTCCTATGATTATACCAATTTAATATTACTCTCCTAAAATATTATTGCCTCAAGATAAAACTAAGATGAAGGTAGAGATAAAAGCAGTTGAAGCAGAAACAGAGCCAAGAATCTGTGTTAAATCCTTATGGCTTCTGATCTTCCCCCCCCCCCCAACTCTGTCCATAACTTAGCAGTTATGCTGCCTAAGGTTCAGTCTTAGAGCTGGGCCTAGCATGTCTATTAAAAAATTCCCTAGGTGATGGAAGCTACCTATTCCAATTTAAATAACATACTGCCTCTGAAATAAAATATTGTCAATTGTTTGGCTCTTGATTTTAAATATGCAAGGTATCTAGAGAACTGGGGGGGGCTTCAAATTTATTACTATTTTGTGTAAAGAGCTTAAAGAATAATGATCATAGTTCTAAATGGACCAAAGGTGTTGTTAATCACCCAGAGAAACATATATACCCTGAGCTTGGATCTGCCCTAAATATGGCATGCTGTTCCTGAGAGTCTTGAATTAGTAGAAAATCAAAAGATCACCAAATAATAGCTTATAACAATTATATCACTATGGACTTAATGACTGCATTTTATACCAACAATGTCTTGTTTTAGCTGAATGTGACACTCACCACAGTATATAAAAGTCAGCTGACCAGAATACATTTGACTCTGTGGGTATATTTAAAGAAACATCTACCTATAAAATATTTATATACACAACTCCCTTCCACACTCTCTCAACAAGTTAGTTCTTCTAAAACATGTGAAAAACAAGCATCATCAGTCCCCAAGTACACTTTGAACACAAGCAATAATGTCCTGAGATTCATTTCAAAGCCTTTATCAGTGCCTTCCTTGTAAAGAAAAAAGCTAAATTCAAGGAATAAGAAATGGACTTAATAAAGTTTCATGTCTCTAAGTTAGTTAGTTTTTAAACTAATCCATAAGTACTTACCTGTGAGAATAGATTTTTCTTTTGTTTATAGATTGGATCACTTGAAAATCACTACTTATTCAAGCATAAAAACCATCCCCGAAGGTCTCGAAGAAGTGCCCTTCATATCACTAAGAGATTATCTGATGATGATCGGGTAAGTGTTGTGCATTTGTCCACAAACCAATACCCTGAATTGTCAGCTTTCTTTATGATTTCCAATGAGAACAAAAAGCAGTTTGCAAATGTGATTCTTTTTACTCTATCATAATTGTTTACCTGTAATGTTTCTAGGTTTTTTTCCCAAGTGCTTATAACTACACATATAATAGCAAGATGGGATTGCATTAGTTGAGCTGACTAAAGTCAATAATATGTATATTCATTTATGTTATATTATTTTCATTATGTTAATTATGTTGATTTTATATATAAAGTTTTTATTTTTAAATATTGAAAATCAGTTGTCAGTATTGAAAATTTTTGAGAATACAATCAACAAATTTCAATATGCACCTGTTATGTAGCAAGTTCTTTAATACCATGTGAGTATGCCAAAGAYATGCAAAACCTCTATTTTCAGTAGCATTTCAGCATGACTGAAAAACATCCATGTTTCCACTACTATAACCATACTAGTGTTTGTTAGAGAGCTCTAAATCCATGTGTTTATGAGGTAGATGCCTCCATAAATATTGTACTATTTGATTCAAACCATTTCATCTCATTTCTTCTTGGTTTATATACCTATTCATGGTAATAGCAAGAAATATCTAAAATGAATTTAGATAAAAATGGTAGGGACAATTTGAATGCCTGCATAATTTATCGATTAATTTTTAATCTATTTTCAGTTCAGCAAGAGTATTATTAGGAAATGTTGACTACATTAGTAGTGTTGAAATTTGCATACGCATTGTGGCCTCTTCTCAAGGCTGTGTCATACTGAGAAAAGTTTATTTTGGTTAGCCTATATTTGTATACATCATTTCAGTTGTCTAAGACACCATGGGGAATAAGTGAGGAATAATGAGAGATGCAAAATATTTTCTCAGCTTCCTAAGGGGGGAAAAATATGAGTGTCAGTGGTAGAACAGTTAAGAGTACACGGGATTCATGAAAACTATGAAGGAACTTGATGGTTCATTTTGCTTAAAACTTACAGAATTTTTTAAAAATAAGACAAATTATAAGGGTAGCACATTTTTGGGCCTTGGTCACCAGTGTTCAAATATAAAACAAACAAAAAAAACCCACCCGCACAGTAACAAACATCTCTGTATCAGGACCGTGGATAGCAAACTTGCAGCTCCAGTAACACCTCTTGCTAGCTCTTTATGTCAAAATGCACACTGAACTTCATTTTAAATTTTTTCTTGTTCACTGAAGTCTCCCTTTAGCCACACAAAGGCTGAGGGCTCATTGTTCTGGGGCTCTGAAAAGCAGATGGTTCTGGCACTCTGACTAGGCTTGGAGATTTCCTTCATTAATGCACAAGGAGTTAAACTGACCTCCCCTCTCATTTTCATAGGAGAAATTGGTCAGAATCAAGTACACTGTTATTCTAACTCAGATTATCTCATGATAATGTACATATGTCCCCACTCTGCTCTTCAGTTATCTTCTTAACAGTTAATTATGAGGTAAAATTCCAAGGCATGATACAAAAATCTAAGAACTTATTCCCCAGTAAAACTTCATAAATTTTTTATATAGTCCCATAAAAAATTAGCCCTAGAATAAATTTATTTTAGGATAAATCCTGAAACCATAGAATCTTGCATTAGAAGTTTGGACTACATGATTTTTAATGCTATTTCCAGATCACAAGTATTATTTACAATTAAGTACATGATACCTATTATATACATAATAAGAAGACACTGCCAATTTTCTCTGTTACATTTGGTCTGCTCTTCTAGATTAATATGCAATTCTGAGTTAATGACATTAATCATAACACTGTTTCCTACAATTGGATRTTTATCTGATCAGATGGCAGAGTGCCTCTTTTTATATTCCATTTTTAAAATTGCCTTTGATTTTCATTTTATTGCTCTTTTTAAATGAGTGATAATACTCTTTCAAATCAGCCCTATGAAATGCAGCAATAGTCTATCTTTATAAGTCTGCTAATGAAATATCCAACTGTGAGTGACCCTCTCCCACAAAGATTAGTACTTGTTCCCTAGCAGCCAGCTCCCAAAGACTGACTTAGATGACAGGCAGTGTATTCCAAGCATGGAGGTATTTTAAGCCAAAACAATTAAGCTTGAAAATACAAGCACTTTAAAAATAAATTATAGTGACTAATTTCTAGCTCTCCAGTCCCTCCCAGTGTTTATAATAGGTTTTCAGTATATTCCTAATTGAAAATTCAGTACAGATTTAGTGGATGGTTTTATCCTTTAGCTGCAAATTATTTTTCAGTTCTTATTTTTGGATCTGACTCATGAGGACTCTCACATTGACAATACCCAACCACATACTGGACTGTCATGTATACAACAGAAAAGCTGTGTTTGGAGTAGGAAATAGTCATGTTGCCCAGCAAAATAAGAGTATAACACTGTCTCATAAGGCAGTCTCTCATTCTCTCAGGGCCTCAAGTATAATAGGATTAGGCCATAAATGTGGGCCAGGTAATTTTCGCATTGTCAGATCTCTTTGCATAATACATGAGACTGAATTAATGGCAAGTGTGCCTGGTCAGTAATGTTCATTCATCACCTCAGATCTGTTTCTCATATTAAATACTCTTAGGCAGGAGGCTGAAACAGAGATGAACCAGAATTTCAAATTTGCAAAGACACTGTACCATTCTTGCCTTATTGAACATTTGCAATGTGTACCTTTTGCATGTAAAGAAAGAGAAATTAAGCTGTAAGAACACCATAATAGAAGTCTCTGTAGTCTCTTGTTGACTCATTCCATGAAAATGGACAAATTTTGAGCTAAAGAGTCCTGGGACTTCAGTATAAAAATAGGTATTATGGCCCATTTTCTGATGAAAGCAAGCTGAACTTTTACTTCCACTTTAACCACAGTGTAAATAATTTGAGGGAATCAACACTACACTGATTGCKCTCCTCCCCCTAAAGATACTCTTTACTGTAACAGAGGAAATGTTCATCTCCCCTGTGAGCAATCCCTCCTTCTCACTGAGCTGCTAGTTTGATCTGTGGTCAAACAAAAACATTGCAGAGCTGCCTGAGTTCTGATGGGAAGGGTCCTAGAGATAGAGGGAAGATCATTTCACAGAGGTGGCTACTTGACTTTTTGATTTTATTGCTATAAAAATCCTTATAGGTGATATGGGCTGAACAACAGTATGAAAAAGAAAGAATTAAACGTTCAGCTTTAAGAGATTCAGCACTAAATCTCTTCAATGACCCGATGTGGAATCAGCAGTGGTATTTGGTAAGTAACTAAAGAAGGACTGTGTGGGATCTGGGCTTTTCATATCAGCTGCACAATGGAAAATATCGTCATCTCTATCTCCCTCTCCCCCACGAGAAAGAGAGAGAGAGAGAGAGAGAGAGAGAGAGAGAGAGAGTGAGTGTGTGTGTGTGTGTGTGTGTGTGTGTGTGTGTTGGATGTGACAGAACTATGTTATCTAAAAATTAGGGCTGACACTACCCTCTTAAACTGGAATTTCTATTTTTCTGGGTGAGGGTGTCTGAAACAGCTCTTTATCTGTTATGAAAAAGAGAACTTGTCATCTTTTTGTCTTCTTAAGTTTATCTGCAAAAATCATATTTTGCCAGATAAGGGTCCTAAAAGCAGTATTCACAGTAAAAATCTCTTTTGGTTAAATTACTCTTAAGAAACCTCTAAATCACTCATAGAATACATTGAACATGATAGGTATATACAGCCATGAATGGAAATTCTTACTTGCTACAGGTGAGGATATCTGAATAAGGCTAAAGGAAGGAACACAAGGAAAGTCTGTTTGCAAATGTCTAGACTTGCACACTGTTCTACCTTTAAAATACTTACCGAATCTTTATAGGTGTGTGGGCAGTGAGTGGAGAAATTGTAATTGATGCTGCTTGCCTGCAGGGTGTTCTCTTTTCTGTTTTAATGTTAAACCTCTATAGAAGTAATGCATGTTAATAGAAGTATTTGCTGCTGAAAATATCATAAAAGACAATTTTCCACAACAACTGTAACCTAAGGGTTAGACACTTTTGTTGCATAATGAATGGGATAGGGGATCAGTTCCTCTTGCCATTCTCTACACCTAAGCAACAGTTGCTCATTGCATTAAAAGACACCTATCAGTCAATGCTTGTGCATTTACAATGTGCCCCATACTAGTATGTTTGACATAAATTAACTCATTTAGTTTTCACAAACACCTTACGTTGTAAATCTAGTAATTATGCCCATTTAATRGGAGAAGAAACAGAGAGTTGTCAAGTTGAATAATTTTCTGAAATCAAATGATGGTGGGCCATGATTAATGACCCCAGAGGTCACACTCTTAACACCAAACTCTCATTGCTCCTGCAATTGACACACAGAACTTCTTCCTAACTTTGGATAGCAGTTTATGTGTGTTTCCAATCTCCTATGATTCAGCTTCACACTAGCTTGTTGAATTCTTGATTTCACCTTTTTATGAGGCTCATTCACAAGGAGAAAATCTATTCATTGACACTTTTGATTGTTGTACTTATGAATTTCTTACTGACTCCTGGTACCTGGCACTCTTCTACTGTGTCTCTCACATTCTTGGAAGTACACTTATATCTGTGCTCCTTTGTTACTCAGTTTTTCACCAATATAGTTGTACATACTATAACAGCAAAATTATTTGAAAAGAAAACCCTAAATCTCCTTTCACAGATATTTATTCTGCAAAACACTCATGCATGGAAATTGGCAATTAGGTTACAATTACTGATGAGACCACATTCTCCTGAACATTCCACATTTTTATTTTTCTCCCAGAGGAAATGTTCTAAAACATCCATGAATGACTTTGCATCTGACAATATAATGAGAATTCAGTATGGCAATGGAGGCTCAGGACTTTGGGGAGATGGAAACACAGGTCATCAAATAAATCTTCAGTAGATGAAAAGCTTGAGCATGTTATTATAAAAGAAAGAAACTTAGAGGCAAACTTCTTTGAATTCATATAGTTCAAAGAGAAGTCACATAGGATGATTCATGCTTTCAAGTGATTTTCCATTGGGATAGTTGGGAGAAGAGGAGCACTCTGATGATTTGATTGGCCCTACCCTCCACTTTGTTTTTCATTTCACCTAATTGCCTTCTTCTGAATAGTAGAGTGACCCAAGGTAAAAGAAAGATAGGTCTCCAGATTGGAGTTTAAGTATCCATTTTATAGCAAGCAAATCATGATTTTACCAATGCTTTCATATTTTGCTTTTGTTAGCAAGATACCAGGATGACTGCAGCTCTGCCCAAGCTGGATCTTCATGTGATACCTGTTTGGCAAAAAGGCATTACAGGCAAAGGAGTTGTTATCACTGTACTGGATGATGGCTTGGAGTGGAATCACACCGACATTTATGCCAATTATGTAAGTCTGCCATTCCCATGACTCTGACTTAGGAAGCTGTCTATAAGCAGCTTCTCCATCCCTTCAAAGGAGATGGTGCTCTGATATTAGCCCTTGGCATGGTGGCTGATGAAAGGCTTTTCATCTTCCTTCACCCTCATTTTAGCCCAACTTGTTTTGAACTTGTTTTTTATCAGTAGACACTAGAAAACAGTGGGGTCAAGGCTTATACAAGACCATATGTGTTAGGGAAGGGAGGTGGGAGTACCTACCCCAATTAATTGAAAGTCATTTATTGGATTAAAAAATTGTGGGGTGGAGATACACACACACACACACACACACACACACACACAGAAACATACGTACACATACACACACAATGGAGTTCTTCTCAGAAATTTAAAAAATGAAATTACAGCTTTTGCTGGTAAATGGATGGAAATAGAGAATATCATGCTAAGTGAAATAGGCCAAACCAAGAAACTCAAAGGTTGAATATTTTCTATTATAAGCAGAAATTAGAGTAAAATAAAGGAAAGGRGTAGGAAGAGATAAGATTATCTAAAGAATCAATCAAATACAAATCAATGGATGACCAAAGGAAGTCTAGTGGAGTGGAGGGAAAATGGAAAGAGRAGGAAGGTTGAAAGGGAAAGGGGGATAATGTACTGAAATTGACTTCCATGCATGGATCAGTTTGTTGGGATGAATTCAACTACAATGTATAACCATAAAGCTATAACAAATAATAATAATATTTATTGCCATGGGAAAATACACATACACACACACACACACACACACACACACACACATATATATAATATTATGTGAAAGAGCAAGTTTAAAATGGAATATATATAGTGTGATCCTATTTTATAAAATAATTATAAAGTTTGCTGAATAAGTGAGTGGAAAAAAGTCACTCAGACTATGAGCCAGCTTTCTTTGGGGAAAATAAAGCAACTAAATCAAGCCTAATGTCTGYGATCATTTTCACAGTTTTCTTCTCTTATCCTTTATGGGTTAATATCCCTGACACTGTGAATGTTATTCTTTCCATGCAAATTCAAACAGAATACTACGCAGTGTGAAAATGCCAAGTAAGAAAGGAAAGATTTACTAGAAATTAGAAAATAAGTAATTTAAAACTATATGCTAAATTGTTTAGGAAGTTTATAATTTGAGCCCAATAATATATCTTAGGTCTTTATGTCAGGGTGGTGGACATTTCATCTATAAGATTGTCTTTTGTCTTTCTCTCATCCTTTATACCTATCTGACATTCCCCAGTCACTGCTCAAGCCAAAGGAAAAGGGAAGAAAAAAAAGAGATGAAAATAGATTATCACAAGGTAGTAGTTGGGAAATATTGAAAGACATGGAAAATATTGAGAAGTAGCAGTAGTGRTGAAAGAATTCCTACATAGGAAACTTTAAGTGTGTATTTTTGGCTGGAAAGGGGTTGGACCTGGAAGCTGGTTTCAATTTCAAGCACATTCTCTTTTATTAAATTGCATTTCCTTTTAGGGAGAGGCTAAAGGAGACCATATGGACCTGAGCCTCAACCCACTACCCCCTCTTTTCATCTAGTCATAAGATACAAGAGTCAAAGTGTCACTAGCTAGTTCTAGGGCTTTAGTTAAGTCATTCAACTTCTCTGGGACTCACTATTCTCATTTGAAAAATGATATGACTAAACCCAGTAAACTTATTTTTTTCCCCTAGCTCTGTCAGCATCTATGAGCTAAGGGTTTGGTAACACTTACTGAGAGTTGGATGCTGRCTTTCTTTGCTGTGCTCATCATCACTGTCCAGTTTGTGTGTATAATAAATGTTCAGTGACTAGGCTAGAAACTATCTGCCCAAATGGGAAGAGGCAATGGAGAAGACTCAGGAAGTGCTTTTTCTTTTCTTTTTTTTAAATGATGCTACAGTGTTATTTTTATTGTCTCTTTAGGATCCAGAGGCTAGCTATGATTTTAATGATAATGATCATGATCCATTTCCCCGATATGATCCCACAAATGAAAACAAGTGAGTAAATGTGCATTTTGGGGGGAATAAAGTACCTTAAAATGTTTTTTATCTTGTTTGAGAGAATTATACTATAAATTTGGTCCACATTTCAGCTCTCAGGAAATGTTAATGTACATCATCCATATCGAAATACGTTGTTGCTTTTAAAACCAAAGCTTCTGTTTTTATATTCCTTTTAGATTCTAGAACAATAATTAAACTTCATATTTATGATTTTCTCCTTCTTATATTCTGAAATTCTTCTGTCATGTGTGACTGAATACTTACAGCTTCAGAAAGAATGCTTGAGACATAAAGGGTACAAACTTTGTGTTCTCTCTGTCTCCTATCAATTCCTCTGTGAATCTTTGTGCTATTAGCAATATGCTTAATGTTAGTCACAAACAGAAATATACATGAATGAATACATGCGAATAAATCCCCACAACTTTGTATGGTGGTTAAAACCACCCTCATCAGTTCCCCAGTAGAGCCTGGCCAGATAACAGACAAGAGAACTGCAGCTGAGGCCTGGCCGCAAATCCAACACAGTCCCCCAGGGCTTTGAAGCAGTTAGTAACCTGCTCCAAATTTCTACTGGTCATAAAGGCAAGGGAAGAGAAAAGAAACAACATTGGACTCCTAGATTATTATCTGCTCATTGCAGCCACAGAGATGAGGGAGGCCATAAGTCAGTCCTTTCAAAGCAAAAGAAAGAGCCAGAAGCTAGGGACTTTTAACCCTCTTTCCTAATACCAGAGAAATTTCATCCTCAGGGCATGTGGTCTCAAAGTGTCCATCCCTTTGTGGGAATTCATCTTTATCCATACTGATATCTCTCACAAACCCACAGAGACATTCAAACTTTCCTTTTCATTTTCCCCACCAAGAAGAGTTCACATCAAAATAAACCAAATCCAAGGTCAAAATTAGGGGTTTGTTCTGTAAATGGTGATGGAAAGAACAAAGCAACTAAAAAKCTCTTGGTAGTTGTTACACAAAGTACTTCCCTTTTTCTTTGATGACTGTCTACTGATTCTTTTTTTTAATTTTTTTTTTTTTGTAGATGGACACAATACCTTTATTTTGTTTATTTCTTTTTCTGTGGTTCTGASGCTTGAACCCAGTGCCTCACTTGTGCTAGGCAAGCTCTCTACCATTGAGCTACAACCCCAGCCCTGGATTCTTTACCAATATGGGTTAGTCAAGTCAGTCTCTGTCTGTCTGTCTCTCTCCCTTTCTTTCAACATGTGGWCAGAGCATTAATATTTACCTAAAGTTCTTTCTCCATTTGGATGGTCTTCACTCCAGAAGGCTGCCATACCCCAGAAGGCAGGCTTAGCACATGGACTTGACTTCAATGTCTGGGTGCATATTTCTTCCTGGAGGGGTAAAAGGTACAACTTCTTTAAATACCATACATTTCTTCAAGGATATGAGTAAAAAGTTTACCATTAATATCTTTAGAGATTAAAACATTCCAGTAACAATATAATAGGAATCACTGGTAGGGCACTCTTGGAGGACAGTGAGAGTGTCTCTGGAATGACAGCAGGGCCCCTGGACAAACTTTTAGCCACATTCCTAGGTCAGGATAGTGCAGAGCCAGCAGGAACACTTGCTCTTTTGGAACACAGCCTTCTAATGTCAGCCTAGCTGATAGTTATGACTTGCTAATTATCAGTGTAGAGCATGACCTTGAGGAAATTATTTACCTCACTCTGCCTCTACTTTTTTTGTGTCTCCTAAAATTGGAGTTAAGGCACCTACACCCCAAATTTCTGAAAGGAACTTCCTAAGTAAATGAGAAAAAAGTACATAGAATTCATGGGCACCTGCCTTAGAATGGGGTAAAAAACAATAGCTTTTATTTCATTGGAATATTTATTATAATAATAATAGCTTTTATTCTACCCTGTCATTAAGACCAACAGGAAAATSTGCTTGAAGCAACATGGGTGCAGCCAAGAAGACTTAGCTAGAGGTGTCAGYCTCTTTTTTAGTTAATGAATCATCTTCTCAGGTAGATCCTGGGTGTGGTCCCAGGATCCATTTGGGTGATAACTTGTGTAGTGGCTGCATAGTTAGTAAGTGAATACTTGGTGAGATAATATTTTCTGGAGTTTTCCTTGTCAAAATAAGAGGGACTCAGACCTTATGTTAGTCATCTTGGCATTACTGTAACAAATACCTGAGATAAATGAACTTAAAAGAGGAAAAGTTTATTTGGGCTCACAGTTTTGGAGCTTTTATTCTGTGGTCAGTCGACTGTTGCTTTGGGGCCTGTAAAGTCAGTTTATCAAAGTAGATAGTAAGTGATACCACAAGCTGCTTAATTCATGGTTACAGAAAGCAGAGAGAGAAAGAGTGCATCCCATAGTCCCTTTGAAGGCATGCCCAAAGTCACCCAGAACCTCCCTTCTTCCACCATCTCCCGGTAGCACCAAACTGGGGACAGAGACTTTAACACATGGGCCTTGGGAGATTTTTCAGATCCAAACTATAGCAGACCATCTTCTTCCTTAACCACAAAAGGAGGATTCTCAAAGAACAGCGTTTATAATAGCTACATTTTCCCCAACTCAGGGAGCTCCAAAATCTCTATATAAGCATTGCCTGCTGTCAACCTTCCACATGGCTTGGAGTTAACATGGCATAGCCCAATGGTTAAGAACAGACTTTGGATCTTGATTTCAGTCAAATCTTAGATCTTCCACTTAACCACCAAACTATCTTGCATAAATTATTTAAATTCTTYCTGCTTAGGTTTTAATCCTCTTTTGAAAAGGGATAGCTATTGGGTTATTATGGGGATTACATMAGTTTGGACACTACCTGGTACATAGAGAAATAATCAAATGACTATTGAGATAATGATAATGATGATGAAGAAGATGATAAGAAGGTGATGATAATGATAATGACAAAGATGACGAAGATGATGTCAACTATGGCATCTCACATAGCAACAGAGATAAACCTTATTTCAGTGAGAAATCAGAATGACTGGAATAGTATCTGATAGGAGAAGAAGGAGAGACAAGTCAATTTTCTGAGCAAATTCAGAATCTGCTATTCAAAAATGACACAATGAGCAACTATCAGTGTCCTGTTGACTATCAACCAAAAAGATAGCATCCCTATCATTTATCAGAAGATATAATAAAAAATAGAGTCACTCTTTTAGCATGTTATCAGGCATAAATCCCTAAGATTTAGAAAATGAATGGTCCCATTTTGTTAGCCTTTATAGCAATAGGAGATCTATTATCACCCAATTCCAATGGCATTATCTCTCCCAACACCTCTATTGCTGCTGTTCTTTATTACTATGTAAATCAGACTAACAGAGCCATATTTAAATGTTCCTCTGAAAATCAGAAGAGGAATCACTAGATAATAAAATYATAAAAGTACAGGTAACTCTTACTATTAAGCTGGCATGAATCTGCATTCAGTATTTCAGTATTTCAACACCAATTATAGATTATTTTCCTAGTTAAATAGCATGTGTGACAGGGATATTTTAACCAGAATAATAGTAGTCTTTAAGTATCTTGTAGAATAGTTTTTAAAGATCAATTTGTTTAAATGCCAGTTACTACCATTGTTCTAAGTTAATGGAGGGTTCGTTTATCTCAGCTCCTGACTTAGGAAAGAAAAAGAACTGTGGGTCTATGAAGAATGACGTAGACATACTTTGATAAGGTTTTCCCTATTTCTCAGTATGCAAAGGTGGGAAGTGAGGATGAGAAGAGAAAAAATAATCAAGCTATATTTGTACCTTGATCCTACTGCTACTTTTTATTAGAAAATCCATTCCTATGTGTACTAGTACATAAAGAGATAAATAATAGGGAGTGTCACATTACATCTTTTTTTTTTTTTTTTTGTCAACAGACTGAGTCTATTGGCTCAATCTGGAAACTTGCAATTTTGCTATCCTGAGCCCTGTCTCCCCTCTTGTATAGATGGAGATACAAGCAGTGGTGACTCAGAAAGCACCTTTCTCAGAGGATGACAACTGAATTTCTCCTTTTACAAAGACAAAGAGCTAATCTCTCAGCAAAGTATTAGGTGTCTTCTATGTGTTCCAATGCGTACACATTTTTCAGAAAATGGTCAGGACATTTTCAGTGGCAAGGGAAAGAACCCTAACTAATAGATTAAATAAAAACAGGGGCTGACGAATTTTTCACCCAAGGGATGCTGTAGCTTGCAGTGTTGCAAGATCCAGGAGCTCAAATAAGGTGTCCTTAGGACAGTAACCCACGATTTATTTCCATTCCCTGGTTCTGCTTACCACCACTTACTTGCTTTACTTCTCAATATAATATTGTCTGGCAGCAAGAGCTACATGGCTCTTCTAGAACTAAAGCTCAAGATTTCCAAGAAAGAATGCAGTTCTCATTCCTAGCATCAGCATCAATCTTTGAAAGCTGTCTGAGAGAAGGGGCCTTAGTACAGAAAGAATCACAAGGAGTTAGGAGGGCTGTTTCCTCAAAAGGGAAAAATGCTAGCATTCAAAAAAGAAGCAGATGTCTGCCTCCAGGAGGAACACCTTGAATTAAAGAAAACTGTATTGATCTGACTTGAATTCCTATACACTATTAAGATGAAGAAGCAGGAATATTTTTTAGTGGAAAGAGACCAGAAAATCGTCTTTCAAACTTCATGAAAAAAAAAGATAAATTAAGCAGAATTATTTTGGATGGCCCAGTCAACCTAGGATATTAGTATTCTGTGCCAGGTGGAATTAATAGATGGCTAGTATAGCATTGTCTACCATTGGTGGTGTCTGGCAAGGAGGTAGTCCTTCCTTTTCTTCCCTCTATATCAGCATATCTGATCAGTGACTCCACAAGTCACCAGGGGCTTTCACACYACTCCCAGGTGTTTCCACAATGGAAGAAATTCTTAAAATGAATTCACATGAACATATTCTTACTTATTGGCCTTCCTGATTTGAGCTGGCGATGGGACAAGACAATTATTACCACCAGAATTTCAGAATGGATGCTGTAGTTCAGGTGGACTTAGGCATGTTTTAGAGATGGATTTCCCCCACCAAGTATTCTGAAATCATCAATTGTCATCTTTGTTGATTGAAAAACAAGTCTTTTTTAGGCTTCTGGCTATAGTCAGAGTTGTGAGAGTTCCCTGTTTCTCAATTAGTCTGTCATGTCCTGAGAACATGTCAGAGTCTTCTTAGTACCAGAAAATCCCTAGGAGTCTTATTGTGATATATGGTTAGAGGAGAGATGGGGAGGGCTTATGGGGGATTCTTCTGTCATATTTTACTAGGGCTAGTCCAGGATAACCTAATCCAAAGTAATCACTAGGAGGGAATTYGAGGTGCCACTTCACTACCAAAAAGTCAGAGGAAGAAGTCATGTCTGAGGCATTGCTACTGAATGAAAGATTTCTCATTGCAGTATCAATAGTTGCACTTTTTGGGTCCCTAAAATATGCCAGCCACTGTTTTAAGTACACTACMTAAATATCTCCTACAATTTTCACAATAACCCTTTGAAGATAAGTGACTGACCCAAGTCACACCACTGGTTAGTGCCAAAACCAGAATTTGAACTCACAATACTTTGACCCTAGTGCCTGTACCTTTTATCTGCACATAATTTTTTATAATACTGGTTTAAAAAGTCAATAAGAAGTCTGACAAAAAGCTAATATATTCATGTACCGTGGATTCATATGCAAAATAAACATTTTTTCCTTAATTAAGGTTTATAATTCTTACTTTTAAATCCTCAGACATGGGACCAGATGCGCAGGAGAAATTGCCATGCAAGCAAATAATTACAAGTGCGGGGTTGGAGTTGCATACAATTCCAAAGTCGGAGGTAAAGTTCCTGTAGTTAGGCACTTTAAGTTGAAGCTTGCATTACCTGCTGAAAATGGGTAAAGGAGACATTTCAACTACCAGAGGAAGAAATGCATTCTGTGTAAAATTTGCTGAAGGACTAAGGGTGACTTGTAAGCCAATCAATGGATCTAGATTCCAAGAAGATGGATAGCTGAATATAGCCTATACATCTTCACAGGGAAAATAATATAATTGTTCAATAGCATTTGAATGAAATCTAATTTGTTCTATGTTCTGATTTAGGAGGGATATTATTGAACACTTTCTAATGGAACAGAATGAGGAAGTAAATTTAAGCAGACATTCCCTGCCTCTCAATTCTATAGATTTTTTTTTCATTTTGTACCAAAGAATAGCTGCAGAAGAAAAAAAAAAGTAAAGCACATACACATTATTTTAGCCAAAGTTTACCTTTGACGACAAATATATAGAATCTCTATTTGTTTCAGTAAATTTTTTTATGGGGAAAGCCCACTAAGTTAATTGGGGGACATTTTAATTAAATAAACTATATACATGAGTTAGAGAAAACCAACAACGGAATAACAAATACTGATCCTATTACCTTTAGGCCCAAGGGAACAAGGAGAAGGAGAGTCAGTGGAAAGCAGGGAGAGAAATTTTTGGTCATAGAGAACCACTGAACAGGAGCTTTGCCCCTGTACACACCAGGAGCTACATCCAGGCAGGGAGGATCCAGGGGAATAAGACCTCACTCTCTTCTTAGCCCACCTTTCCACTGGTTTCAGAGAGCCCTTTTGATATGGTGGGTGTTCTAACAGAGCAGGGTAGGGAGGGAATCTGCAGGGACAGAGAAGATAATAATTGCCCTCTCCCTTAAGCTCTTCCTGCCTCAGGGTTTCAGGATGATTAGGTTATGAATTCCTTTTTGAAAACCCAAATAAATATTCAGGATGTATATTTATTTGGTTTCTAAAAAGAAATCCATATCCAAATTCAAGATATAACTAGAGTTTAATAAGTTTTTATTATAATTGACATGCTCTACAAGTTACCTTGTTTGTAGTGATAGTTTTTGAAAACGAAACTAATCTCAAGCTTTATTGTACAACTGTAAAAGTCAGAGATAAGAAGAATATAAATGGGGGAGGAATATGGTTGATACATAGGTAACATATATATGTATGTGTATATATATATATATATATATATATATATATATATATATATATATCACTAATACATGAGACTCATATTTTAAGTATCATTCTTGATTCTTTTGATCATGTCCTCTCAGAGTGCTGTGCTAATTCAAAGAAAATGAAAGCAGACACAAAAATTATGTAATCAACTAGAAAAAGAATTTGCTTTTCAAGTTCTAATGAACTAAACAGCTATAGTTTATTAAAGAATCACCTGATACTTCATTTTTTCAGTGAAAGAATCATAAGAAAATTTCTTAAGGTGACAAAAGCTAGTTGTGGCAGTGTAGAACTGAAAAATAATACTTATGATTCAGACCCTTTTGATTGTTTTCATTAGTACAGTCTTTGATGGTCTAGCCCCAATTTGAATAATAAATTTCATTTTCTAGGTAGGGTAAGTGATCTGTCAATCACTTACTTATTATAAGTAGTGTATCCTGTAACAGGATAGATTTGGGTCCCTATTTTTAGAGTTTAAATCCTGGTCCCCACTTTTAAATTGTGTGGTCTTGGATAAGTCAATGTATCTCTTTGTTCTCAGTCCCTTCACCTATAAAATATAGAGAATTATAGCACCCATTGCTAATGGTAGTTGTAAGCATAGAAAAGTACATGTCTAATGCCTATGTAATGGTGACTGCATATAAATATCTTCAATGCATACGAGCTCTTATTATCATTAATATTTTACAATTGAAGAAACTGAACTACAACAATTAGAAAACAGAGCTGGGTTATTTTTTTCTTTTTCTTCCAAATGCATTTTTAAGTAACTCTTTATTGTTGTTTTTTAACAAATATGACTTTCACTGATCATGTCAGTTATATGTTGTTTTACTTTGGCTCCATAATGAATAATAGTATGAAAATCTAAGGCTGTGAGCTCCATTGCATTATTAGCCTGAAATTGCTTTTCTCTTCCTGGCTCTTGAATTCATGAGTCTGATGATGGCCGACAGCCTGTTGGAAAGCACAAAGAGCTACCATGTCTGCCTTCTCCTGATGAAAAATGATTCCCCCTCAGGAKTGAAATCCATGGCAATGATTTCATCCTTGAAATGATTTAGAAGAAAAGGAAGCATGTTCCTTTGCAAACACATAAAAGAATGGCCTCTGGGTTATTTTTAATCAGTGCTTAGAAACAAGAGTTCTTTCCCTATTTGTTAGTTTCCTATTGTGGACAGATCTTTTCAATCTGCAGCTTCCTGTACAGGGGCCTTTGTGTGGCACAGACTGGGCCATAGCCACTCATGTACACTCATGAGCAGGTGTGTTGAGGGAGGGCTGTTTGATGGTTTTTCCTGAAACCTAATAGGTGATTTTGTTGGGGTGGTGGAGGGTTGGAAGACATTTGTARTTGCCAGCAAACATATCCATTCCTCTTATCCAAGAATGCTACTCCCTTTCAACCTCAGGGGTATTACTGGGAACAGAGCCTTGGGTGGGACAAAAAACCCAGCTGTTTCAAAGTGCACAGCATTATCTCTAAAGGGCAGACAAAAAAAGTTTACAGAAGCACTGACATTTCCCTTTTGTGTGGTCCATAGCTGGGTCACAGGTGTTGGGAACCTCAGAGCTTATCTTTTTTGATTCTTTTGAGAGTCCTTTAAAGATATGAATTTTAAGGCCATCRTGTTTTTCAGTATGTATATACCTTTATGTTTGTTTTCTTCTCTGCTCAGGCATAAGAATGCTGGATGGYATTGTGACTGATGCTATTGAGGCCAGTTCAATTGGATTCAACCCTGGACATGTGGATATTTACAGTGCAAGCTGGGGCCCTAATGATGATGGGAAAACCGTGGAGGGTCCTGGCAGATTAGCCCAGAAGGCTTTTGAATATGGTGTCAAGCAGGTGAGATGCTTAACCCAGACGCATGAGATCAAACCCACCTATTAGGATATGAGAAGGGAAGAATACTCAGGTTATATGGAAAGAAAGGCTGACAAATTTCATTACACAGCCCTTCACAATTTTAAATGCAGTTCGAGAACCAAATCATTTCTCAGGGATGGAAGTTCAAGGTTAAGAGAGTTTCCCTGCTTGGGTCTGACATTGAAGAAAAATTCATTACTTTAGGATATTTACTTTGAAATCCTTCTAGACAATCTTCCTTTCTCATTTTTCTGCTACTTTGGGTCTTTCACTAGGTAAGCTAATACCCAGATTCTGAAAATGCATTCTTGAATACAGTAACCTGCTTCCTCTGGCTCAGCACACACCCCTGCAGTACTTGTGCATCATTTGTCACTTGGGTTTACTGCCTTCTTTCACAGATTCTAAGGCCTTGAACTCTACAGGATGAGAGTAGAAACTTCTTCGGAGAGCACAAATTGAAAAATCATAGAAAGAGTGGCCTTGACGAGTTACATTCAATTGAAGAGTTCCTTTTAAAGCAGCTGCAAAGCAGATCTGAATAATGCCTGATTTTGTCATTCTATCAGTCAGCCAGAAGATTCAGGCAGGAAGAAAGAGGAAGTTCAAAGATTCGAGTGCAGTGACATAAGCCAAGAGAAGAGTGAAAAATTACTAAAGAATGCTGAAGTCCAGATTATGAATCTGCAGAATTAAAATAGAAAAAAAAAAAGTGTTTGCTCAGCCCCACTCCAGAAGTGGCCCACAAGACCAGAGGCTTGAAGGGCCAGAGTCTCGTGATTTATAATACAGTCTCGTGAGATTTCCAGTGTGCCTGCTGGGGACCTAGGGTTAAATACAAATCCCCCAAATTTGTCTCTGAGAACTTCACGAATGCATTTGTTGGGGATTTTAATGGGGTTTAATAGTGACCTCAGTAGATAATAATAGATGTTGTCCATTTCGGCTTTTCCTTTAGGGGAGACAAGGGAAGGGCTCCATCTTCGTCTGGGCTTCTGGGAATGGGGGGCGTCAGGGAGATAACTGTGACTGTGATGGCTACACGGACAGCATCTACACCATCTCCATCAGCAGTGCTTCACAGCAAGGCCTATCGCCCTGGTACGCTGAGAAGTGCTCCTCCACRCTGGCTACCTCCTACAGCAGCGGGGATTACACTGACCAGCGAATCGTATGTTGCTTTTGCCTAACTCTCTCTGCCTGGGGAGGAGAGCCCGCCTTGCACTCACAATGATCCTTCTAACTGACCTTTGGTGGAATTGATTTGCTTAAGTTTGATGTCTCTGTCGGGAAGACTCATGCTTACTCACTTGCAAAGGCTGGCATATATTGGGAAGTTTTCTCTCCAGAGATAATGACACTTCTGCCAAGATGATCTTCCCTCTCTGTCATTTTAAAACTCAGCCCTGAGAAGTCACCAAACCTGTCATTACACACAGCTGAGACTCTAAATGTCTTTTCTGCTTGTCTGATGCTTCCCTGGAAACAGCCTGAAAAGAGATTTCAGGGCTGTAGGGGCTTTATCACCCTTGTACTTGCTGATCCTTTAATAGCAGGGATATAGACTGACTTGCCCTTTAGCAAATGATAAAAATACAGAGTCTACATTGGAGATGTCTCCTAAGAACAGACGGCCTGCAGGAAAAATAACCGTGTCAGTTTCCCCTGAGGTGAACTCTTCAGCCTCTGGGTCCAAAGCTCAGGCTGTATGCTCAGAGAGCTCCTCTAGCCCACGCTTGCTTGTGCCTTCACCTCCATGAGTCACACTGCCAAGAGCGATTATTGGATCTCCCTTCAAGGGCACAAAGATGAAGGGCCATTTCTAGGTTTGGGGAAAAAAGAGAGTCACTTTTAATTTAAAAATTTAAAGTCTCAGATTTAACTCTGGACACATAAAGAACCCACTAGCTAAAGTATATAGGTCCTAATCTCAGTAAAATAGCAGGGCATGATCCAATTAGATTGTGGGTGACTGCCATAATAATTACTTTGAAACACATGCACAAGTCTCATTAATGGCATCTTAGCAGAATTGTCAACACTAACGTCTTCTTCATACAGGATCACTATTTTGTAACTCTGCCTCTTTCTGCAACAGTTTAGGCAGTAATGCTGTGTGGTCTCCACTGGAAAGCACTGCCCTCCCCTCTCATGTCATCTTCAGTTACTTGAATAATAGGCAGTGACATTCAACCCAATGGTTCTTTATGGCAGGCACAGTTCATAGCCTTTGAGACAGGCATATCAGACATCTGCCCCACTTGTGTTCAGAGCCCCTGGCTCTTGCCATTTCCTTGGGCATACACAGCTGTCTTTAGAAAATGGCCTGTTATACCTTTTAGAATCACCATTTGATAGACTGCTGTTCATCTGGGCCACCCTGCACCAAAGAAGGGGGAAGATTTTTCCACTTTCATAAAGATTCCCCCCACCCCAAACCAGCCCTGGGAGAGACAGCTGGTGGATTCTATTTGAGACAGTTGCAGCAGAGGAGACTTTTCTTAAGCAAACCTCTTCCTCAGCACAGTCATCTCTGGGGGCTTATTTGCGTCAACAGGTAAAAAGGGCAACTTTGCTTCCGTTGCTCTCTGAGGAGCAGAGCCACCATAACTTGAGAAATTCAGAGACTCCAAGCAGGAAGCCAAAGGAGGTGATAATAGAACAAATTATTTTTTTACACCTCCCTCCCACACATTGAAATCTCTAGCTAAGAACTGTAGTGCTATAGCCTGGGTGGGGGTGCCTTGTTAGTAATTCTTTGGCTCAACTACTTGTTAAAGCTAGCAGTGCAAGGGTTCTTAAAGCAGACTGAATGAAAGTCTTTCTGCTTTCTTCCCTTTATCTCCGTAACCTTCATTACCCTAAAGAAAGCCTACATAATTCCTGATATGCAATAATATTGCATTTCCTAGGCAGGATCTCACTCAAACCTCAGAATAGGAGTCAGGAAATGTAAATATCATTTTACAGATGGGGAACCAAGTGACATGCCCAAGGAATACATCTAATACATAGCAGTTGTAGAATGTGAACCCAGAACTAATCCAGCACACTTTTTATTTTTAAAACACACCATTTTCAACAAAGTGCAAATGGAGACACTAACTCAAAGATGTCAACTCTAGTCCCAGAGCATGAAAACTACACACTAAGCAGATCCTGTGCAAGTAGCTCAAGATCAGGATGGCTTAACATCCTTGTGCTGAAGAGGCAGCTAAATGTTAGTCCAAAGGGCAAAAGGAGTTTTATATGAGGCAGAAATTCTAAATATTACAGACCAAACACAATGGACCTGATGATTAATGGGCCAGCATGATTCACAGTGATGTCAAAACAGTTCCTTTTTTATAGACAGCGTTTCATTTGGGAATCTCAGAAGAGAAAATATTCATAGTGGGAGTACTTCATCCCCCGAAAAGGCATCTTGCTGCCAGAATTGTAGACAAGTTGCATATAGAGGAGAGGGAACTAAAATATCAGCAGATGGCAAACATCCGCTCATGGTTTAGAGGAGGAAGTAGGGAATCGAATCAGCTGAGTTTCCTGGTCATAGCAGATGCAGACCTTGGTGTGGTTACCTTGTCTCACACTCCTCATATATCCTACCTCTCTCTCCTCCCTGTTACCATCCAGACAAGTGCTGACCTGCATAACGACTGCACTGAGACCCACACGGGCACCTCTGCCTCTGCACCTCTGGCTGCTGGCATTTTCGCTCTGGCCTTGGAAGCAAAGTAAGAACCAGAAATCTTCTAATCACCTTTACTGAGGCTGCTTCTCCTTGTTAGTGATACTTGTTACTTACTGAATACATGGTTACAGTAGAAATTTTGGAAAACTACAAAACAGCAGTAAAGATAAGCTTTCTTCCTGACACTTTGAGATAACTTTTGTTAGCTATCAGTGTAGATTAAATACACATATCTTACAAAATTAAGATTCTGTTATGCACATTATTTTGTAGTTGTTTTTATAATACATCCTATAGTATATTAAACATCCACCCATGCTTTCTCATGTTCAAACCAATCTTCCTTGACCTTTATAAATTCATGTTGTCTCTCCAAGTCCTGTTCCCCCTAACAAACAGGACTTCTTCTCATTAGGCAGAATTTGATTCAAATAATTTCCTGTGGGTGTTAGGAATAACAATATTACAAAACATTTTTTTTCAGAATAAGCTAGTCTTGGAGTTAATGTTACTATGTCAAGGGACATGAGAATTAAAGATAGAATTTTCATCTTTTCATAGTATAAATAGCAAATTATTAAAGTCATCTAATTAAGCTTAAACACTCTTGTCCATAAAAATTTGTTGCCATCTCTGATAAATTTCTCAGGGTAAATGCTCAGATTGTGAATTTCTGGACCAAAAAGCAGGAGTGTTTTAATGCTTTTTAATACTTATCAATAAATTCCTACCTTGAAAAACTATATAATTTTCTATTCACACCAGGAGTATATATTTGGGAGTACCAATTTCCAAAACCCTTGCCAAACTACTTTTATTATCTTTTAAAATGTTTGCTAATTGGATAGGTGAAAATAGAATCTCATTTTTCTATGCTTTTGTTTAATTAMTAAAGAAACTCAATACTTTGTCATGTAGTTATTTGTCTTGGCCATTTGACTGCTTCTTTATGGCCTTCATTTTGTTTAATGAAGAAAATCTATCAGTATTTTATCAATTTGACATTTACTTTTTAATTTATTTATAGGTCATTTTTAGTCTAATGAAGTTAGAATGTAAATAAACATGTTTGCCAGTCTGTTACTTTAAAGCTACTTTCTTTGCTTTAATGCTCAGAAAAATCTGCACAGCCAAAAACTGGGTTCATTTGTCTTTCATTTTGGTTCCTTTGTCATACTTAAATTCTAAATCTCCTGGAATTTCTTTTGGTGTAGGACGTCTATTTTCCCTCAAAATAGTTACTTCAACAATCTAATACTTAATAATGAATAAGAAAACTAATCATCATATATGACAAATCCAYAGATTTTTTTTTTATTTTTCCTTATTTGTACTTTCTGCTGTGGTGTGGTGACAGCAAATCTTGTAAACTAGTATTGTCCTTCCCAGTAAGAAGGTTGTTCTAGAAGAAGTCACACTTTCTCTAGAGAGAGGACAATGCAGTCTCCTCATGCCATGTTCAGTGAACTATGTTCACAGGAGCAGTGGAACAGAACATCTTTGCCTTTGCCACAACTGAAAAGCCCAGAAGTTGCTGAGCCTTTGTCCAGGAGAGTCCAGCATAGCTCTAGGTGCCCTGGGGCTCCTGGTGGTCATGTGGTATAGTTCCTGGGTATCTCAGCAATGACATAGCCACAGTGGCTAAGCAAGACAGTCTGCCAAAGATCTTACAAATAGTCTAGCTGCTTAGAAGGACTGAGATGTTTGATGAGGAAAGAAAGAAATCCAGGTACTTGATCAAAAGTAGATGGGGAGGCTAACAGAAAAGCTATATTTAGAATCTGAGTTCACTTGTAATAGGGAGGGATAGACAGAAGACAAAAATTCATGAACACAAGCTATAACTGGCACCAGAAGATCCAAACCAATGTTGAAGAAAAAAATAGTCCAAGCAAGGAAATATACTACTAGTTGTCTGGCTTTAAGCAAGATAATTCACATTTAGGGCTACATCTGTCCAGTTGTAAAATGAATGAAAGGGTCAAACACACCAATTTTTTTCAAACTTCTTCCCTTTATAAAATTCTCAGATTTGAAATCAAAGTTAAGGGTATATAGAGATAATCCAACATGACTTGTTGAGGTTGGTGGTAAAAGGTCTAAATATGAAACAGAGTATTTACGATCTCAGAATATAGATCGTTAGTCACGGGGAGATGTTAAAACAAAGCCAGCCTTAAAATCATAAGTGTAGAGTCTTTCTTCTCTTCCCTGCACTTGTCAGATGCATGTAAATATAACAACTAGGCCTAGCCTACTTTTGTCTAATGATGAATATATTAGAAATAGTYATCTAGCTGAACACTTGTATAAATTCCAGTCAAAACCAGAAATTTTTGAAGTTTAATTGCTGGTTCCTAAAATGTCAAACCTTCTTTTTCTACATAAGGAGAAAATCATCTAAGAATGACCTAGTCTCATTAATTTTATTTGTCTCTGATGAGTCTTTCTAAAGAAGGGCTTATATTGCACAAGGTGGATCCCTGAGGTCCATGAATGTCTTTGCAACTAAATGCAGAATTGCTTATGAGTGTGTTTGAAATTTTCTGGGGAATGGTATGTAGGTTCCACAGCATTCTGTCTATGCTATCCTAAGTGCAAATCACAAGAATTCAGTTCCCTTTATTTTTATTCAGAAGTGAGATGGACATGATCTGTCTTTACATTTATAATTTCTCAGTAATATAGATATGATCTTATGTCTTTCTTTCCAAGTTACATAGAAGTTATTGAGATTTCTGTTCTCAATTGGATTGGATGGTTCAATTGCAATACCAAAATTATTAGATAATAAAATCTCAATACCAAAATTTCTAGATGTGTGATCAAGTTTTATATCTAGACACTCAAGATTCAGAAAATCACTTAAATAGGTACCATCCCTTAAGAATCAACTGGATGATAAAATACTCTGAACTAAACTTATCAAGAATAATGAGATCAATATTTATCCATTTTGTACTACACACCACACACTYATATGTATTAATTCTAATCCTTGCAACATTCCTATAACATAGAAATTATTAATTGGATTTTATCAATGAAGTAATTGAGGCTTAGAGAAGTTGATAAATATAACCAGAATCCCATAAAGAGATTTATACTCAGGTCTATCTGCCCCCAAAACTATGCTATCAGCAATTACACTATGTTGCCTTCACAGCCTTGGGAGAGAGGAATGTTGAGTGGATGCCTTACATTCCATCAAATAAAGGAGGATTAGGAAGATTGAAGTAAATGAACACATATTTATGAGTTCCTCCTAAGTGTCCTGCCACACTGTGTATTAGCTGCTTTAAATATGATGAAGGTAGAGAAATAAGGAAAGAAAAAGAGAAAACATATTTTGGGTTGACKTATGTATAGGGGGATATTTCTCTTCCTAAGAACAGTGTTTTTTGAATGCTGGCATAGATACTAATCACCTGAGGAGTTTATTTAACATCAGATTTCCAGATCCTATTGCCAGCAACTCAGATTCTGAAGTTTCCCCTACAGCCCAGGAATTGCCATTTTTAGCAAGTACCCTAGACAGTTTTAATGCTATTAGTACCTTCACCTAACTTTGAGAAACAACTGCTATAAAGAACTATTTTCTACAGCCTTTTCCAGATGTCCATTAGGTACCTTAATACCTTAATAGGTATATCTTAGAGATAAATATTAAGAAATAAATGCCTTACATCATGCCTGTGGCACCTTCTTTATTAAGTAGTGAATATACCTAAGAAAGTTGGAAGACAATCACCTTGGTCTATGCATAAAACCTCAAAAAGAATCAGAATAATTTTTAATAAGGGAGAACAATTCTGATGTGAACCATGGATTCCTTCATACCTTTGGAGGTAATAAACAAACAGGCAAACCAATTTTCTGTTTTTATTGAAGTCTAGAAACATAGATTCTCAATAATGCATATGGAGCCTTTGGAAATKGGGGAAAAATCACACAAAAAAAATCTTTGTTGTTGAAAAATGTTAGAAAGGCCAAAGTAAAAAATACTCAGCATCTAGAYTCACCAAGGTGTGTGATTAGGCCAAACAGGTAGCCTCTAATAATTTTCACTTTAGAATTAATTTTGTCTCCAGACCTACATCTCTTCTAATGAGAAACAATGCTTCAGTTCACCATTTAATTCTGTAATGCTTATTTTCTGTAAATACCCTTGATTAGCAACACAATGCAGTTTTAAAATTTTTAATTATTGTGGATGCAGTTGAGCATTTATCGACAAAGGAAGGCTTTGTCAGGAACAAGTTTGCACTATTGTTAACAGCTGTTTTTAATTTATGAGACGCAAACACACAAATGAAGAATAACTCTGTTAGGAAAATGTGTTTAACTTTCCTAATTGTATGACAGTGAAGCTCTTGAAATATTTTTCAAAGACTATATAGGGTAAATTTTTAAAAAACAGTACAACTTGCAATTAAATATTAAATAAATGTTCCACTTTAGAAATATAGAAAGTGTAAGCTTTGTAGATGATTATCAGCTCCCTGACATGTACTTCCTTTATACTTTTCCTCATCCCTACCCTCTTAAGTACACCTACACACACTGAGGATACAAATGGAAAACTGGTTTGTTGCCCATTGACCACCTTGATAGGAGACTTTTACTTAAGACTCCTTTTGACAGACTGGAAGAAAACACACGTTTCAATAAATTGCATTATAGGATACGATTAGGTTCTACCTTGAGAAAATAGCCATTTCTGCTCACTCAGTTAATGATTCCTGAAGGTAGGATAACCAAAAAAGAAACAAGAGCTAAAAAATGGCATGTGTGGAGCTGGGTTGTAACTCAGTGTTGGAGCACTTGCCTTGCACTTGTGAAGCACTGGGTTTGATCCTCAGCACCACATAAAAATAAAGATATTGTGTTCACTTATGACTAAAAAAAGTTTTTTTAAAAAAGGTATTTATAATATTAGGCAGATAGAATATCTGAACAGTAAGGAATTCTAGAGACTGTCATATTCTACCCTTTCATATTATAAATGAGTTAACTCAGGCCCAGAGAGATAAAGTAGTTGGATCACCAAGTTCTTTGATAGTAGAATGCAATTTAATGTGTTTTCTACTGCTCCCTATTCTGACCCCATGATTTGAAATGATTTATAATTGTCTTAATTGGTCATATTGTGTAATCTTTCTACCAGCTCCTGTTATTTTCACTATGATACAGAACTGACTAGACAGATTTTTAAAAATATGAAAATCATGCCCTATTCTTATAATTATTGATTTATTTAGGAAACTGATAGATATGTAAATAGGTAGGTAGATAGGTAGGTAGGTAGGTAGGTAGGTACGTACAGGAGTGTTCTACCTCTGAGCTAAATTCCCAGCCCTTTTCATTTTATATTGAGTCAGGGTCTGGTTAAGTTACCCAGGCTGGACTCTAGCTTGGGATCCTTCTAACAGCCTCCTGAATATCTGGGAATGAAACTTGGTTATAGACATGGACCACCATGCACCATTATCCTCARACATTTTGACTTGTAGGTTTGAGGTGGGACTCTAAAATTTTCATTATTTACCAGTGTTCCAGTTGCTTATGATACAAGTGGTCTGGGATTCACTGAGAGTCACTGAGCTGGAGTCCTTCTATGGTCTCCATCAATCATTTTCTGGAGTCAAGTAGGAATGCAGCTCAACTGAGAGTGAGCTGAGCTATCAGATGTTGGAGCAGCCCATTAAAGCAACAATGCAAAATGAAAGCATTGAGTCAGTCTTTTATCACCCACTGCTATGGTATAAGCAAGAATTTAGAACCAGAGAAAGCACCAGTTAGCCTGATTCCATTTTCCCTCATGGAGCAGTGTACCCGTCATGAGGATGAGTACGGACATGAGGGTGTCTCTCTGTAGAGGGAACCCTGAAGAAAAGGCTTCAGCAGTTTTGTGGACCTTCAGGTGTGTAGGGAGAGAGGGCTTGTGGGAGGGTAGGAGTAGAAAAGCACTGGGTATTGAATCAGAGCAAGGAACAGTGTCTTCAAGGTTTTTTCCCTTCCTTCACAAGGAAACCTTGGTAAAAGTGCCTGAAGAAGACCTCTGCCCAAGGCCTTAGACAAAGACACCTGGGAAGAAGGCACTCACCTACAGGAGTCAGAGATGTACAAAATGCAAAGAGCCTGATGGCCAGGGAGCCTGAAACCTTGACTGCTAGGCCCCTCGGAGGCTGTAATGCCCCAGTTGGCAAGTAGGTTAGCATTGGAGGGCACCATTATCTAGTGCCTACCAGGGAAAGACTGAAACTGCCTGTGGTCTGATTTGTAATGAGGAGCTTGAGTCCCATTGTTTGTACTCCCAATCCCTAGGTGTACCAGGGATTGTATAATCAGTGCATTTTTTCCCCTGGGGAAAGGCAGCAAATTGAGCCAGATTCCCCCAGTGATTGGTCTACAGATTCATATTAAGTAGGAATAGGAACCTTGAGAAGTATTTGGGTGTTATTTATTACATAATGCTTGATTGGTTAAGGGAAACAATGCAGGTCTCAAAGGCAAGGGAAGCAAATGACTAATAGCAATAAGTTTTAAAATTATATTCAGTCTGTTTAACGTAGGCACATAATCATTCAACCAACCGATATTTACTCAGCATATGTCCTTCCTAGCATTCCTCTGGGTGCTTGTTACACATCAGGGAACAAGATAGATAAGGATCTTACTCTTTCTCATGGTTAAGTTCTAGCCAGGGAGACATATATTAATAATACACAAAACAAATATATTTCCCAGTATGTTTTAAAATGATAAGTGCTATGGAAAAAGAAAAGGTGCAACAGGGTAAGAGCTTGGGAGTGTATGGGGTCGATTAATATTTTAAATAGGGTGATCAAGAAAAGTTTCATCATATTTTCAAAGATTTCAATCCCTTGCCTCTCTAAGTAATCTTTATATTGTTGCTAAATTAATTTTACTAAGACTTCCAATTTTACTATATCCTTGCTCAAAAAACCTCTATGATTCCCATTCCCTAAAGGGTAAAATATAAACTTTCTTTTGTGGGATTCAAGGTCCTCATTGCTAAGGCTCAGTATTCTTCAYTGCCTCTTTCCTGCTTCAGCAAACCAGACTGTAATCTGATCTCACAAGTGGGGCAGATGCCATTTTTTTTCAAGTTATATGGAAATAATTCAAAATGTGGGACAAAGTTTTACATTTCTGAAATGCAGAAGATTGAATTTTACTTATAGTAAGACATATTTTATAGGCAGAAGTTTTCAGTACTGCATTTTGGATGCCAAATAAAAGAGCACACCAATAGACACTATAATAATATTGGTACAATCGCAGAAGGTAGTTCATAATTCCTGAATAAAGATGCATATTGTTAGCACTTGCTTTGGGAAGGAAACTTCATTTTATCCCTGAAAGATCCTTTGGGTCACTTCCCCTCCAGCCCAAATCTCACCTGGAGAGATATGCAGCACTTGGTTGTCTGGACCTCTGAATATGACCCATTGGCCAATAACCCTGGATGGAAAAAGAATGGAGCAGGCTTGATGGTGAAYAGTCGATTTGGATTTGGTTTGCTAAATGCCAAAGCTCTGGTGGATTTAGCKGATCCTGGGACCTGGAGCAGTGTGCCTGAGAAGAAGGAATGTGTTGTAAAAGACAATGACTTTGAGCCCAGGTAAGTGTCTCCAGGAATTTTAAATAAATGTATTTAAATGTTTGGCATAATTTAATAAAAGAATTTGTTACTCTGCCTAAATTTCACTTGTGCCTATCCTTCTAAACCAATGGAGAAGGAATTTGCCAGTGTTCTCCATGGCTTTTCATGGGGGATTACTGAGATCTATAAATCAGRTTAGCATATTTTCATTGTTTTCCCTCTACAACACCCATGACTTTGCATTGTCTAAAATGCACCATTGTTTTATGTACCACTAGGAGAAAGCATTGTCAGTTAAACTGTGACCAACCAGTCATTAGCTTTAAGATTAATCCTAGACTCAAAGATACTAGACTACTCTTTAAAAATGTATCTGAGAGTTAATGAAATGAAGTACTTTTAAACCAGTGTTACCTAAAACCTACTTTTCTATAAGAGCCATAGAGCTGTGGGATTCTTCACTTTTCTTCCATATAGGATCTTTTATCCATATAGGATCTGCTTTTACACAGACCACTTTTGACTCAATGTATGTGGCCACAGAAGCAGAAACTGCTATGAATATTTTGTTATTTCTGTCAAGGCAACCAGAATAATACTGAAAACCCACTCACACAAAATACCCAAGCATCAGAGGCTCGAGAGCTGCCTTAGAAAGGCCTTATGGATAAAATCATAAAAACAGGGCCYTTTTGATATTCTAGTAATGGACCACTTTTGATGGATCCAAAAGAAAACTTCTTGAATTTGATTCTATAGTAAGTAACATCATACTGAAGCCTTTATGTTCTTTACTGTTTTCTTGTGCATGAAATTCACTTATAGCTAATCTTGAATGGGTTCTCCTCCTAACAGAGAGTGACAACAAGCCTAGCTGAGTATCTAGTGAAGTCTGATGTGTACACCTATGCATAAAATTCATGAAAAGAGACATACACTTTATTTAATACTAATTCCTTAATGTATTTAGAGCCCTGCAAGCTAATGGAGAAGTTATCATTGAAATTCCAACAAGAGCTTGTGAAGGACAAGAAAATGCTATCAAGTCCCTGGAGCACGTGCAATTTGAAGCAACAATTGAATATTCCCGTAGAGGAGACCTTCATGTCACACTAACTTCTGCTGCTGGTAAACAAAYAGGCACAATTCTTCTAAGCCATTTGTTTAAATTCTTAAGTGTATATCAAATTATTTCAAATCAATTATTGTTTTTGTTTGTTAATAGAATGAAATCTCATTATAGCTATTTTGAGATCTTAAAAACATACTTATTTTTCTTGGTGTTAGATTTCCTTTGCCTTGCTCATCCTGTTCATTCCCACTGGTTCTTAGATAAGCAAAGAATGTGATCTATGTCAATAATTCCAATTAATATCCTTCCCTCAAGTCATGGGTTTTCAAACTATGTTCACTTCCCAGGGTTCTGACCTCCCATTCATTTTTCTTATGTAACCGTTAGTAGTGAAAGTTATTCTGATAATTAACAAAACTTACAAATATATCTGAAATATTCAAGGAATAAAGTAAAAAAAAAACCTGGGAATTCTGATCCATAAAAGAAGGTTGAAAATACTAATACAGTCCTTTTAATGATGTGAATCAGGCCATTTGATATGATGTATAGACACATACCCTTTTCCTAAGCAGGTCCTAATTCAGATGTGAGAGCTGGTTGGATCTTTAGCCACAATCGCACTAAAGTTGTCTTGATCTCTTTCRTATTTTAGTAGTACTCAACTGACTAAATTGGATTTCTATAGGTGATAGATGAGGAGAGATGRGCTCCCTCTGTGGTCCCCTTTCTAGGATATAAACTGGAGTTTTGGATTAGCCTCTGTTAATTTTAGAGTTATACTTTCTAGATATCTTGGTTTTGGCCTGAAATATTAGTAGGAAGCATTTCTTTTTCCATTGATGGGTCTATAGTTCATTTAATCCTTTTATTTAGAATGAAATATTATTTATTTATTTGCCAAAGACTTGGACTTGGAAGTTTCGTATAAAAAATAACTAGTTTTTATATGATAGGAGGTTATTAAAGTAACTCATWATTAATTAATAAGTTAATTAAATTAATTTTATGTCTACTTAGATTACAGACTCAAGAACCTATTAAATTTTTAAATTTCCTTTTACATTTCAAAACAATAGTTTTATTACAATGTATTTTAGATCTTTGATTCCCTTTTTAAATACAAGTCATAAATGTYGCTCTCAATAACTTTATTTATTCAATAAACCTTAAACAACATATTTATTATTATTTTCTATATATATTTTGAAAAATTATTCTATGCAAGGCAATGTGCTGTGGATAAAAACATTTTTTTTCTTGTGATTTTCTCTATCCTGACTTTATACCAAAAGGGAAAATTAGGACTAATATCAACCAGCTTTCATTTTCAGTTATAAGATGCAAGAGTGTATCCCACTCTAAGAGATGTTAGGATATTCATTAACTTGTGTTTGTTGTATGAAAATAGGAACTAGCACAGTATTGTTGGCTGAAAGAGAGCGGGACACATCGCCTAATGGCTTTAAGAATTGGGACTTCATGTCTGTCCATACATGGGGAGAGAATCCTGTAGGCACCTGGACTTTGAGAATTACAGATATGGTAAGTATGAAGGAGAGGATGAAGAAACACACATTCACTTTTCAACTCTTTGAAGCACTTCTAAGTTTATATCATCATTAATTATGGACTCTAAAGAACTTGACCACTCCTTAGTAGAAGGGCAAAGAATACTATTTCAAACAGATAATAATTTTAGAAGAATATTAGGCACCAGCCATACTAGAGAGAAGAAAAGGTATGCTGATAAACAATGTGACAGACTGTGGGACAAATCCAGGTGTTCCATGTCTGAGCACAGCCCCACATGTCCTATGGTCTTGAGAGACAACTGTATTCCCAAAGTTAGATGCTCAGATCAGCTTTGCTATGGAGTCTTCTGGAGTCACCTGAAGGCCCTCCTGCAAGTATTCTATGGTGGATAACAAGTAGCAGCTTCATAATGAGATCCCCCCACCAGTTTCAGTTACCAAAAACATCATTTTTTCAAGTGAAAAAACTGTCAGCATTGATATTTGTCTTCCACATTGTTTTATTGGTGCATTATAGTTATACAGATTTGTTGTTACATATTCTTATATGCACACAATATAACAATATAATTCAGCCAATATTATGCCCTCTCCCTCCTCCAACCCACACCTAGGTCTCTTTCCTGTACTGAWCTCCCTTTGATTTTTAGGAAGTCCACYCCCATCTTTGTTTTCCTTTCTCCTCTCTAGCTTCCACATATGAGAGAAAACATAAGACTCCTGACCTTCTGAATTTGACGTATTTCACTTAATATGATGGTCTGTTTTTTCATCCATTTTCCTGCAAATGATATAATTCCATTTTTCTTTATGGTTGAATAAAGAATCACTGTAGTATAATGGCTTTAATTCTCCAAGATAAATCCTGAGGAGTGGTATAGCTGGGTCATATGGTGGTTCCCTTCCTACTCTTTTGAGGAAACTCCATGATGATTTTCATAGTAGTTATACTAATTTATGGTCCCACCAGCATGTTTAGATTTTTTTAGATAGTTTAGAAAACAGTTATAATCAAATTTTTAAGAATATAACCAATCTGGGAAAGAAAAATTATATAAGAGAGCTCTGCTTTTTTAATTAGATGCTTGAATATGRAGCAGTTAATCAGTTTTTTAATTGTTGAGCTTATAAAATACCAACTTTTAGGTCAAGAGTGAATCCAGTAGTTTCTTTCAAACTAGATCTCTGAACATGGAACACACAAAATCTTAAAATTAAGTTTTGACTATGAAATCCTTAATATTTTAAGTGAGTTTATTTTATATTCAAAACACATACTAAAATATGTGTGTGCTTTATTCACTAGTCTGGAAGAATGCAAAATGAAGGGAGAATTGTGAACTGGAAGCTGATCTTGCATGGGACCTCTACTCAGCCAAACCACATGAAACAGCCTCGTGTGTATACATCCTACAACACCGTCCAAAATGACAGAAGAGGGGTGGAGAAGATGGTGGACGTGGAGGAGGTCTGTATGGCTCTGTTGTTATTGCACTATGTTCTGAACTGTGGTAGACAATGCAGTGAATGAAGTTGCATCTAACTTTTAGGCAGGGAATAGGGCAAATATRCATTGAGAGGAAGCAGGGGTAGCAATAAACTGTTTCTTCCCCAACAGATGAAAGAAATATTATTTTTGTGTGCTTTTATCTAAAATTTATTATGGATAAAATGTTCAAGTTATTATTTAATTTCTTAATATGAATTTTGCCCACTTGTGACACAGCAAATTGTAAAAAAAAAAATCTAATTACTTGGTCACATACCTGATATTTGTACTAGACTGAGTTTTTAARCATTTTCCACATGGTCTGATTTTAACCTATAATCCTTGTAACCTTGGAATGATAAACATTATGTTATGTCCACTTTGCAGAAGGAATACCAAGCTAGCCAAATCACTTAGGTTTACTTGTTCCTGTTTAATAAGTACCATTTAACTTGCACATCTTAGCAACACCAAGAAGAACTATGGGATCACAATTTCTGTCAGAAAATTTCAGAAAATAGACAAAGTCTTTCATGCTCCTGGTTCTCAGGAGCTGCTGGCGTCTCTTTTATCAGCAGGTGGCCAGAAACCCACATTTTCTCTATCTCTGTTCCCCCCAGCATCTAGCACAATGCCTCAGATGTAGTACATAGGTTTTTCCAAATTTCCAGAGTGACCTTCCCTGAATAGGTCCAGCTCTGTGCTGGATGTTTTAGAGGATGTAGAAACATAGTATTCATATTTATTCAAGCAACTAGTTGTGTGGAGGCCTTAGCTTGGATTCTGGCCCCATTTTATTCTGTTAAGCAACTTCCCCTCCAGGATCCAAATCCCTGGGGCCTTTTCTTCACGGCCCCTAAACTAAGTTCACCTTGTGAGTGTTTCTCCCTCAGAGATTCCTTGAAAGATATGAATGGGGCCCTTCCATGGTTAAAACATTGAAATACAGTCAGACTTCCATATCCATGGATTCCAAATCCTGGGATGCAGCCAACTGTGAATCAAAAATATTTGAAAAAAAATGCTGTCTATGCTGAACATGTTTACATTTTTCCTCGTCATTATTCCCTACACCGTACACAACTATTTGCATCATATTTACATTGTGGTACTACAGGTAAGGTGGAGACGATTTAATATGTACGGGAGGATATACATAGGTCATGTACAAACCCTATGCCATCTTATATAAAGGACYTAARCATTCACAGATTTTGATATCTGTGAAAGGTCCTAGGGGACAACTGTAYACAATGATTGACAAAGAGCTGTTTCTCTGATCTTTTCTGTCCCCTCCTACCTGGCCCCTTCTTATAACTTGATAGTTTCTCACAGAGCAAGAAACTGCTCCTACTCTAGAGCAATCAGTTGGTGACTTACAAAAGAGATGTTAAATATTTAATATTGTCTTCTTCCCATTATGGATTCCACGAGAACAGACTAGCAAGTGAAGGAAATCAACACACACTGAACATTTTCCTGTATTATCTCATTCAGTTTTCAAAACACCAGAAATGGAAGTAGTCTTATTCCTATTTTACATGTGAAATTCAGGGAGATTAAAAWGGTTGCCAAAAGTTCATCAGTGAATGGAAAAATGAGGATTGAAACTGAAGTCTTGTAACTGCAAGCCTTGTGCTCTCTCTGCTCACCAAATTGCCTCTCTGTGGACATGCAGTGGGCTTGTGCTAGGGCTGCAACTAGGTTGCCTGACTAGAAATAATGTTTTTTTTCTCTTTGTTGATGGCATTCTGTATTCTAGGAGCAACCCACAAAAAAGAACCTAAATGAGAACCCCYCGGTGTCCAAGAGCCCCAGCAGCAGCAGTGTGGGGGTAAGAAGAGATGAACTGGCAGAGGGGGGGCCTTCTGAGGCCATGCTGCGACTCTTACAAAGTGCTTTTAGCAAAAACCTACCTTCAGAGCAATCACCAAAGAAGTCTCCAAGTGCAAAACTTAACATTCCTTATGAAAATTTCTATGAGGCCTTGGAAAAGTTGAATAAACCTTCCCGACTTAAAGACTCTGAGGACAGTTTGTATAATGACTATGTTGATGTTTTCTACAACACAAAACCTTATAAGCACAGAGACGACAGGCTGCTGCAAGCTCTGGTGGACATTCTGAATGAGGAAAATTAAAATAAGTATGTGGTCCTGAGTTGGAAATATTCACACATCTTCCTTTCCCTTAGATTTTGCCTGYGTCTCAAGTGGTTGTTTTGGCATTGATTCCTATGCTTATAATATCCTTTATGGTACCTTTTTCTTTGTCTCCCCACATTGTATATTTAAAGGGGATGAGCTCAAATAGGAAATCTAGCTTCCAGAATTGAGGATAGCTCTTTTAAAACATGTCTTCCCTGCCAGCACAAGTGAAGTGTTGTATTCTTTAGAGAATTGACACATGCCCCCATGCCAGATTAGAATGACTCCTTGAGCCTGTCCATTTCATTTCTCACACACACAAAAAGGCAAAACCTGGGGAATCCATTCATTAGAAAAGTAATCTGCAAAAATGAGGGAGGGAAAAAACTGTTTCTATAGCTTGCTCTCTATCCTTGTCATGTGGTTCTTTGAATTTTGCTGCCAAGGAAACATTCAGAAAGCAGTTAATGAATGAGTTACAATTAGGCCCATAGCTTAGGTCTATCTACTCCCAAATACAATGCATACCAGGAGGGATGATCTGGTCATTKTAGGAAATGGATAGGTTTTCTTAGGCCCAGAAAGTGACTCTGGAATGTGTATCATGTGTTTAGAATGGTTCTGGAGCATTGCTCTTTGCTTGATGTGCCACATAGAGGTCTCTGTGGATCAAAAGGTGACTGTGACTCATGCTGTGTGCCATGGTCTTTCTCTGTTTCTCCTCCTTCTTCAACTTTTTCATATTTGTTTCCTTTCTCAGCCACAAACTCAGTATTCAGAGGATTAATTTACACCATTTCAGAATAAACTTTCACTTGGGACTTACTCAGCAAACTCCTCGTCATAATAAATTTGTTTAATAGTTACAGGTAACCACTCAACATGAAGAACCAATGTAATAACAGGAAAATATTCATAATGGAGAGAATCAGTAAAAYATTTTGTTTGTTTTTTACTTTAAATTGTGCTTATTAGAACATATTGTTCTGGATCTTTGGAACTGAGTCTCCATTCATTACTGGACAAAACAGGATCTTCTCAAATCTTAGAACTGATAGTTTCCAAATTCTTACCAAATTCCTTCTATGCTTTAAATCAGGAGACATAGACTGGCGGTCTATAGGTCTCACATGTCCTCTGATATGCTTTGTTTGGTATGCAGAATATTTAAAAAATYGGAGTAATTGCTGAAAATTTCACCTACAAAATTTCACATAAAACCTGATTCTCAAACCCACTTTCTCTCACGGCAAGAGTTAGTTAGAGCTGAGTAACAGCTGCCCAATTAGAGTTGAAGTCCAAGACTCCCAACATGTTCCACACTATCTACAATGGTCACCTTATTCTTTAGTGTTCAGCATCCAGTATTTGATTTTGTCCACTCCTGTGGTGAATGAATATGTACAGAGTGTGAATGAATTAGGACTAAAACTACACTCAACTTTTTCCAGGCAGAATTTATCATTAAAATTCATGAGTTTGTTATGATATAATTAATTTGTTGCATTTACAGGCAAAAAAAAAAGTTATTTTAGGCCCTGGAAATATCTCTGAAATCTAGTTTGACATATTCATTTAATCTCATCTCACTTGCTTATTCATTTCTATTATTCATTGATTGCCAGTCTCCTAGCCTCTCCCTGTGAATATGCTCAGAGTCGCCAGTCACTTACAATGCTGTAGCCTCCCACTGAGTTGTTGTTTACAAACCTTCCACAGAGTTTGAACATAGGGTCACCCATAACATTGAACTAGTTCAGGAAGACAGCTCATTTGAAGTGGACTTGTTAAGACAAACTTTGACCCTTTCTTTCACCATTTGCATTTGTGCAGAACGAGGTCATTTCCAGAGCAAAGCTCATGATACCTGGAGACTGCTCTCCTAAAACACTTGCAATATTACTTTGTTTCTGTAAGTTTCACATGTTTTTTGATAACAGCATGTTAGATAGAATTTTGAATATTGCAGCACATCACAAAGTATTACAACTTAAAAGGACCTAGGAGTTATTAGATTACATTTCAGCTTAAAAAAAAAACCAAAACCACCACCACCACCACCAACAAAAAACCTACAAAAGCTAAGGTCCAGAGAAGCCAATGGGTGGTGATAAATGAAAGAGTTGGAGCTACAGCTTATCCTTTCCCCATTCCTAATATCTAGTGCTAAATGTATACAGCTTTCTTTTAATCTTCCTAATATTATCTTTTCCTGGTTAAAACCCCAACCAACTCATTGGGTTATAGCCAAAGGTTCACTCTTAGAGAAGCTTTAATATTTAGATAAAATCATGTTTGAATGTTTCCAACCTGGAATTTATTGTTCAGACATAAAATATTTTTGTCAATCTTTCTTAGTGCCTGTGTGGATTTTTGTGACAATGTTAAAGAGGAAACTTATGTAATATTTCCCTTGGAATTTTAAGGTATATTTTCTTTACAGGCATTTATAATGTATTGATGCTTTTATCAAACAGAATTTTAAAAGGCACAATAAATTATATTAAAGAACCAAAAGTTTTCCTGAGAATAAGAAAGTTTCATCCAATAAAATATTTTTGAAATGCATGTTCTTCTGTCAATGAAAAATGTATAATAAGTATGTGTTGTATTATTTAAAATGTCATTTGTCTAATATCCTAATACAATGTATAACTGAGTTTAACATGTGTGGTCTTAGAATTCTTAAGGGAACTCCCACATTATACATTTGATGTATTAACCAGAATATGTAAAATATATAAATCAGAAGAATAAATGGTTTTGCACTAAGTAAAAAAAGAAAACAGCTCATGCTTCCAACAAAAACAGAACCTCCCCTTATACTGTGTTTCCCAAATGGAATATAAAAAAGGGAAAAGTTGAATGTTCACATTTAGAAGTAAATTTCTTTCTATTTGGGAAAGCAGGCTTTTTAGGAGGCAAATTAAGCATCCACTTAAATAAAGCATGTTTCATTATCCTTCCTAGGCCAGGCTTTCACTTTCTTGATAACACACAAAAGTTGTATGACTGAGCCTTAATTGGAATATTGAAGAAAAGAAAAAAGCAAACAAAACTAAAGTGACTTACTACATGTAAGAGAAACAATTTACACCAGTTCAGTGAACATGATTTGCCTCATAGGCCAGAGGAAAGCAGCCAAGCATTAAATCCCTCCCTGGGGTCCTCTCATCACAACCCCCAATTCTCATTTTGGATCTTCTGTCCTCAAGCCAGATCTCCTTCAGGTTTCAAATCTCCATTTCGGGTATCTCCACCCACCATCTCAAAATCTGGTCTTTCCACCCATGAGGATGCACCTTCTCCTACCACCCCCCAATACTTTCCTTTCTCCTAATTTAGAGATATCAGTTAAACGAAAATACTATTTCAAGAATTACAGAAGACTAATGTAATTGGGTTTTGTCCTCCAGGTCCATATATCTCTGAAGTCTTCCCTTCAGGATAGGTTGGGGACATGACTCTCTTCTATCTCTATATTTATCTATTTAATATATATTATGATGCACAACATGATGTTTCAGTATACATATACATAAAGAAATTAGCATTGCAGCCCAAGAAATTAACTTATCTGCCTCCATCACTTAGTTCACTCCTCTTCTAACTTCTCTCATTTTTCCTCCTTCTTTTCCTCCTCCTCCTTTTCCTCCTCCTCCTTATCATAAAAGCACCCAAACTCTACTTGTTTAGCACATTTCCCCATATACAATACAATATTATTAGCTCTAGTTTTCATGCTAAATGGCACATCCTATTCATCTATATTACTGTAATTTGTACCCCTTTGATGAATACCTATCATTGCCACCCCCTTTCCTGCTCCTGTAACCACTGTTCTACTCTGATCTATGTAGTTTAAATTCCACATATTAATATATTATTCTTTCTGTGTTTGGTTTATTTCACTTATCATAATGCCCTCCAGTTTCATTTATGTTGTTGCAAGTGGTAGGATATTCTTCTCCTTTACTTTTAAGGCTGAATAATATTCCATTACACACACACACACACACACACACACACGCCATATTATATTTTATATATGTATATATTGCATATATCACTATATCTCACAATTTATCTCATTATTCATTTACTGATAGTCTGTTTTCTTTTGAATGTTTATTTGGTAACTGTTGAAGGCTGTGAGTACAAACACACATATCCCAAGAACAAATATTGATTTTTTGTTTTGTTTTGTTTTGTTTTGTTTTTGTGGTCCTGGTGAGTAAACGCAGGGCTTTGTGAAAGACTGGCTAGGGCTCTACAAGTGAGCTACAACACCAGGCCACATTAATTCTTAAATACACATTTAAACCTGTAAGGAAGGAGAGAAATGTTTTTCTTAACTGCCTTGTAATTTACAAGGCTATAACTTAATATATATATATGATAGTTTGAATGATTCACTCTGATAGTTTGAATGATTCACTCTGCTCCCTCTGCCCTGTAGACAGAGTGCACTTTCCTGAACCATTGATGTTGAACTTGACATGTGATTTACTTTGGTACATGGAATATTAATGAAAACAATGCAAGCAGGGGTCTTAAATGTACAATCCCAGTTTGGCTTGCCTCTTGATTTATCTCAGGGAACTACTGCCCATTCAGCTTGGTTCTAGAACAAATGTATATGGAACACATCTAAAATCAAATCCCCATTCAAAACCAAGCCCAGCTCAGCCAACTGGGCTGAGCATGGAACAGAGCTTTCCTGGTGAATGCAGCCTAAATAAGCTGAGCATTTCCCCTGGTCAACTTGTTAGCATGAGAATAAATGCTTGCCTCTGAGTTTGGGAGAGTTTGTTATGCAACCTTACTGTGGTAACAAAACTGACCAATAGATTAAAAGTAACATTGGTTCATTTCACCAATACCATCCCTTTCAAATTACATCTTCTGGAACCCAGATACTCCAGATCAATCCAGTACTAGCATATAAGGATCAGACCAAAGGTATGGTGAGGCCAAAGAGAGGAAAACAGGTATATGATTGTACTGAATGCAAGTTGATGGGTATACACTGACAGAAAAATGGTCCTGGGTAACAGAAAAAAAAGTTGGATCCCTGCAATTTGGGTCAGAATGATGGATGTCTGTAGAGGTTTTGACAAAGGTGACTATCCTAGCTGAAATGGTTTACCTTAAACTAATACCAAAGAGTCAAGCACTTCCTTGGAGCCAGGGTTTGGTTGTAAGGCTCACCATAATACTCTTAATAGTATATTAGGGAACTATGCAGAAAAATTTTACTAGGGTTACTCTGGTTAGGACTCAAGGTGGCTGAAGTCATGTCAACCTGAATCSATATACCAGAGTGTGAAAAAAAGAGCCAGTATTAACCAATATACCTCTTAATTTTGATCCCATAACTCAACATAAACCCTGCACAGACTTTGAAATTCTCTTTTAAAGCTTTGACTTGGCTAAACATTTCCTAAAAGCAGAGCCTTAAATAATGATTTGTGTTTAACTAATTTATTTAGGAGGTAACAGCCAGGAAGCAGAAGTGACTCACACATTCCCAAGAATAGCATGGGAATAGTGATCTATGTCCATAAGAGACAGAAAGCTGGAATGAATATTTCTGCTCACATCTGCATTGATAGAAGGCAACACAGAAAAGACTCTTTCACTATCCCATCTCCACCTCATTAATGCCTTGGCATTTTCACTATTTTCTCTCAGAACTTTATGCAATCTTAGGATGAGGGGAGAAACATAATTTACTGAGATAAAGTTCTTATCATTTATTGGAAAAGCAACTCATCAGAAACAAATTTTTGATATTAA